TCATGAACATATCACTGCTTACGTACTTAATGTTGAAAACGTAAGTATGAACTCTTGTATAATAGATAGTTTCAATTATAACGCAAGTCTCACGTTGAATTTATAAGAAGAAAACAAATTAAGTGACGTCATGCAAGTTTATATTATTAGTCCTGAATTTTCATTTTTTTTAATAAGATATCAAAATTTAAAATTGAATTTAAATTAAATTTTCATTTTATTTATATTTATAATTAATCTAGAAAATTAAGTAAAGATAATTAACAAGCAAGTTGACCCCGTCAAGTGGAGCGTGCTGCACAAAAAGCCAGTGGGTCTCGCAGCCAATAGCTGTGTGGAGGACGTGTGAAGAGCAACGAACACGAGTTATTAGTAAGACTTTGACTTATAATTACAAAATTATGGATTTAATTTTTATTATTAATGTGAGGATTTTGTTGGTTGATGATTTATAAGTATTTTTATAAGTATTCTTTTAAAGGCATGCCTTAGTCTCGAACAAGGTCATTAAAATTATGAGTTTAAATTAACTCGTGATAATGATGTAAACTGGAAACGAAGACTCGGATTATGAATTTATAAAAGTTTACTCTATTAATAAATAGCCTTTAAAAATATATGATTAAATAATTAAAATATAAAATATGAGCATAATTTAATTTAAATATATTTTAAATATAAATTATTAAATTAATCTATTTACATTTATAGATTATTATATTCAATATAGAAATTTCAATCTATGACAAGTTATTTTTGGTATTTTTTTATTTTCTTTCTTATTAATATTAATTTTTGGTTCTTTTAGTTTTATTTTTTATTGAACCAAATCACACCGCTTCTATGAATCAAATTTTATATAATATATATCCATTTCGTTCAATGAATTTATGAGCAGATGCCTTTATTTTATAAGTTAGAAATGTAAAAATGATAAATTTAGAAAGTTAACTCGCAAATTTAACTGAGTTTTATCTAATTCGAATTTATAAACTAGTTAACATGATTTTATAAATAAAAAAATAAAAATGATAAACTTATAGATTCAACTTGAAAATTTGATAAGAATAGTCTTGAAGAACCTTAATTTGCTAGGACTTAATTCTCACCTAAACTCTTTTTTTAATACAAAAATAATTAAGGTGCTTCAATATAATATTCAAAACGGTAGGATTAATATTAATAGCCCTTGTGTCATTGTTAATTAAGGTCAATTGCTTTGAGTTTATTTAATTAAGCTAAGTTGTGCATCAATAATAATTGCTGCGTTGAAACTTTAAAATACTCTCTACCTCCTTTTCTACCAAACTTTCTTCTATAACCATTATCCCTGTTATTTTATATATATTATTACTCTTTAAATAATAATTATGATTAAAGCTTATTATTTTTAATAATAATAAAATATTTTTTTATTTAAAATTTATTGACAAAGGCCTTTAAAAATTTCATTAAAATTATAATATTTTGAGAGAATATATTATTATTTATATAATTTAGAGAGATTTTATTATTATTCTCCCTATTATAAAATCCTTTCAGATATACTCATAATCAATTATTTTTTCTCAACCCTTAATAAATGGTTTAAACATTAGTAGTAGATTTAATTAGGGCGAGATTTAGAAAGAAGAATAAAATATTTTGACATAAGCAACTTCGATGGCCTCCATAAATTTGGCAACACAGTAATTAGCACTAGTGATGGGTCCAGAACATGACACATGGGGGGGGGGGGCAAAATTTGTTTTCCCATTTTTTTGAAGTAAAAGTCATGAAAATTTATCAAAAATTGTGACATGCTACTCCCTTTAATCCTATTTTATAAAATAAAAAAATATTTTTATTTTATTTATAAGTCATCTCATTATATTTTTATTTTCTTTATACCCTTAGTTAAATATTGATGAGAAAAAAATACTTCATTAAAATATACATATTTTATAAAAATAAAGTTAAAACTTATTAAATTTTTAGATAAAATTAATAAATTTTAAAGCTTTTTTTAGTTATGATAAATATGATTAAAATGATTTATAAATATAATTGAATAGAGAATAAGAGATGGAAAGAGTATATGTATATGTATATATAAAAAATAGTAATTACTTTGCATAAAAAAACAATAGTAATTAATAATTAGGTCTAGTGAGAGGAGTCAACATACCCACATTTTAATTTAGATAGTCAACAAAAGTATCAGATATTAGAAAGCTAGATAATGATATAAATATATAAAAAATGCATATAAGTTGGAAATCAAAAGTTAATTTCAATACTTTAGACTCTTAAAAGTTCAAAGCCAAAATGATGGCATCAAGTGAAGACTTGTGAGGCAGCACGCTTCTAAACATGAATGTTTTACTATAAGGCTAGTTTATTAATTAAATTGATTGAATTAAAAAATCAGATTATTTAAAAGTTCAATTAGTTTTATTTTTATTTTTGATAAGTTTTCCTATAAACTGTAAATTTCACCTTGGATAAATTATAAGCTAATAATAAAAAATAATACAAAAAACTCTCCTAATATATATGCGATGAAATGTGAGAAAAAGTTCAACAACTTCAAACCCTCCTATAATATAATATAATATAATATATATATATATATATATAAAAGGAAAGTTGAGTCAAAGAAAAGTTCTAAATTTGGCACACAAAAAAAAAGGGAAAAGTTTTAAAAATATATGCAAGCGAAATTAAAATTTTTTTTATAAGTCAGTTTTAATTTTTATTCTTGGTCGTACTTTTTCTCTTAATAAAATCTCAATCTTGGCGAGCTTGAAAGTCAAGTCGTACGATTCATATTAATAAATACATATTGGACTTTTAAACATATAATTTACTATTAAGACATTTGACCAGAATCATTCATTTTTTTTAGTGTTTAGTTCTAAATATAATTTAAAGTTCCCACTGTTAAATATTCTTGAATTCCAGTCATGGGTAACTTTCTTTTTTCAATTTAAAAATAATCATGAAACATTTATTTTTTTATAATTATTTATTTTATGAAATTTCAAATATTATCAGAGAAAGGCATTGCAATTCAATATTTTAACTAGTTGACCCAAATTCAATTAATCAGAATGCGTTCATATATGGTTTTAGTGGACTCAAAGCTATCTGGGCCAAGACCCAATTCTCTGAGGCGATATAAGCCCTTTAACTAAATCTCTTGGATGATTATAAATTGTCGTATCAATATTCAATATATTTATGTAAGGTATTGATATTTTACCAAAAGAAAAAAGGTATTGATAAATTATGAAGGATTAAATGGTGAATTAGCCCTTAGACTATAAGTTCAAGAGTGTCTGAAATCTTAAACTTATTTTTGGTGTAATATTTTTATTTAATTTTTGAAAACGATACAATATAATTCCACTATTAACAAAAATTAACTTGGCCGTTAGTTGACCAAACATAATAGAAAAGGATATAAAAAAATTACAAAAATGATCAATAAAATTTATAAAAAATGACTCAAAAATTACAAAAAAATCAATCAAATTTTACTAATATTTTATACAACTTTTGAGGTCATGTCATTTTCTAATTACTCAATAATCAAAGTTAGCTTCTATTGACAATAAAGGACATATTGCAATATTTTTAAAAGTTAAAAAAAAATATTGCACCAACGACAAGTTTGGGATCTCAAGCATTCCTTAACTTATAATTTAAAGGCCAATTTGCCATTGAACCTAGTTATGAATATAGTGTGATTTATACTTCTTTCATTTAAAGATGTAAGATATTTTTAACTGAATCTTACCTCCTAATAAAGTAGTTACCTACTTTAAAATTAATCCTATTTTTTCATATTTATCCCTATTAAACACCCTACAATAAATATAAAGTCATTCATCAATAGGGGTACCTTTAGAAAAAAAGGTAACAATCACATCTCAAAAGACTAAAAATACCTTACATTTTCTAAGATTCAATTCCTTAAAAAAGTCTCACATTTTTAAACAGAGAGAGTATTAAAAATCATATAAATATAGAGAGACCACTCTAACAAAAGTCTAAATAAATTGGCTCGTTAACCACAATTGAAACATCCACTTGCAAGTTACACAAAATATTAAGAAAAAAAATATATTTTTATCATAAATTACGTAAAAAAAAAGGAGTAATAGTGATAGCTTGAATTTGATATAAAATTTATATAATATATATACATATATACATGCTATGCATCATATAAAATCTACGAAGTCATCGCATTGTGATTTTGTTAAAACAATAATTTTATTTGTCAATTTATTAAATCTCTTCAGGGTCCTTTGGTGATATTGTCTCTAATTCATTTCTAAATTTTCTTGTTTTTGCGAAAAAAAGGGGGTGGGGGGAGGGGAAGAAGGCGTTTCAGGACTTCAAATACACCATTATAGTGTATTATAGTGCGTACTTGAAAATAGCTATGTAAAAATAAAAAACATGGCTTTAATAAAAGCTACCAAAAGATGACCCATGTCAAAATCATAACCATAGTTTTAACACTGGCAAACATGCTTTCAAACACCACATATATTTGGTAATAGTAATAAGTCTCATTCTAAATTTTGAAGAAGGTATTTTCAGTTTTCTCTTTTCCCCTATCTTTAATGTAAGAATTGAGGTCAAATAGTATTTATTTACCACTGGGAACACTTTAGTATGAAACCAGATTGATTATTTGTGAAACTACTTTTTGGTTTTTAATGACTTAAATTATTTAACAACTTCCTTAGTCTGTATATCACCTTAGGAAATACTCCCTTCAGTACTTCATATAAGATAAACTTATTCAACTTTCATGCTTTTTTAAAAATAATTGTTATATCCTTGATATTATTTAAAAATATATAATTTTGCAACTTTACCCTTATTGCAATCAATAATCATAATTAATTGTTATGTGTAATTCAATTAATAATAAATAAACAAGGGATAACATAAAAATAAGAACATTAATTACTCTAACTTTACCTTATATTAAGGGCTAGAAATAAACTTTCAAAATCTGCCTTGTATTAAGAGCTACCAGCAGAGTATAAACCTATGATAACTTGATATTATTATCTTTCAGATACACTTGTAGCCTGTTCTTTTGTATGTCTGATATGTCTCCTATACAAAATCATTCATAGCCAACCCAAAAGCAGTGACAATGTAAAGCTTTTCTGCAGTTACAGGCAATAGGCATTGAAGAACGTATAAACTTCAACCACAAATAACAAACTAGATTTACACCCGCCAGGCTTTACACACACACACACACACACACACACACACAGACAACATTTAGGGAATAGAATAGGCTTGAGCAAGCAAGGCATGCAATGCAATTCTGCTACCTCTTCCTGTAAAAAAACAGAACTCCATGAGCTGCTGGATCTCATATATATGGGACAGAGATCATGAGCTACATATAATAAAAGTTTCTTCTCCGAGGCCGAGATTGCGATTGACCTGCTAGTGCTCGTCTGTTTGGACGAGCAGTGGCTTCGCTGCGCCATGGAAATTCCCACCTGACCACGTCACCGTCCCAGGAGGAACTGATCAACATTGGGTACACAGGGTGCCAGCTACAATCCCTCACAGGTCCTTCATGATGGTCAAGTTTTGCAACTTGAGCTCCGCTCACCTGCAAAGAATCATCACAATTACAATCACGCCGCTCACACCTGGTAATCTATAGGCAGATGCTCATATGCTAAGATTCTGATGCCCTGTCATTTCAAAACAGAATGCGTATATGTTTCAAATGGGTATCAGACATCAGTCATGACCCTATACTATATTTATACCTTTTTGCCAGAAATGCTATATTCATACTTGAACATGCATATTTTGGCATGTTACATTAGTTATGCACGAACAAATTTCACATTAGTTATACACGAACAAGCTTCCTTTGATTCTATATATAAGGCAGAGAAAGAAAAAATTTCCCCCCTTATTTATAAAGCATGCCATTGACTTTTTATCACAAATTCCTCCTTTTATCCCTATCAAATGCTGGAGAGAAAGTACATTATTAGAGTACTATCTCTATCCCAAATTATAAAGCATCTTTGAAAAGATAACATACAATCCTTTGACAAAATTAAAGTTTCAATAATTATTTTTTTTCAATATAGAGAAAATTTACATACTTAACCTTATATACTTAAGGTGTTTGTTTTTAATTAAATCAAGGCATATGGATCTTTTATAGATTATTTATTCTATAATAAATTCTTGTAATTTATTGAACTAATATATTAAGATGCACATGTCATGATTTGATTGTATATAAGTATATTAAGTATATGAGGTTAAGCACAAAAGTCTTGCCCTTTCAATATTGCCTTTTCCATTATATTCTCTCTTTTTAATATTCTTTCACAAATGAAGTATTAAATAAAGAACAAGTTTAAAAGTTTATATTTTTTTTTAAAGAAAAAATAAGGCTGTAAAATGAACTTAATGAGCTTACTTTTTCTAAAAAAAAATATATTTTACATTACTTTTTCTAAAAGAAAATATAAAGAACCATCTTATTAATTTTTAAAGAAAGTTAATGAGTTTTTTAGTTTTTCTAAATTGCAGTAAAACATGCTTGAAGTGACTTATAAATAGAATTGAAAGGAGTATATAATTTTGGTATGTCTCAGTCTTGCTATGTTCATAAAGGCCCATCTTCATATCAAATGTCCATGCTTCTTTGACAGCAGACAATGTACCAATAACCTCCCTAATTGGAACTAGTATTACTATTAATCCTGAGCATAGTTGACTTTTGTCATTTAATTATTATTATTATTATTAACTCCTAGATAGGTCACCTATGCATTTAAACAAATATGATTTTCCTCAATTGGTATAATGCATTAGATTAACTCGGTTGTTTCATCCAATGGTCATCGTCACTGCCAATCAGAAAGGATGTTAGTACATTTAGGTTGCATGGAATTCTCCTAGATCTCAACACAAGTGATAATAAATTATCTCGTAAGAAATTTTGCTTTTACCAGGTCATAGATATAAACAGAGGAATCGCTGGACCCGGTGTAAATGTACTTTTGTCCAGTGCTGCAACAAGAATCACAACATGAATTATTTATTCATATGATTCATATCATCACATAAAAGAGATGATCCAATACCATGACAAAGACACCAAACAGCCTGAATTTGATTAGGAGGCAGAGCTCAAATGCAAATTTATATATTTCAGTCAGTAAATGATGAGTAAATTTCATCACAAGTGAGGAACTTAGGATGTTTTCATTCAGATTTTTAGCAGCATCCAGGGCTTTCGACCAAACTTCCATAAAACCACTAGCTGGATTATTTATTTTAATTCAACCACAAAAGATTTTTTTTGGCATCAACTTAACCTAAACTTATTGTGATCAGTCACGTCTGCCTTTCTAATCTGGTTATAAATTAACGTTTGTATAAAATAGTCAAATCTGTAAATAACATTTAAGTACATCCCCACATCCTAGCAACGAACAGAATATATTCAAGTCAATGAATTAACAGCTGTGAAAGTGGTTCGCTCTTTATTAAAAAAAATTATGAAAAGTCATAAGCAATTAAGAACCAAAATAATACAGATACTGAAAAACTTTAAATTACCTATATGATGGTGAGAAGTAGCAGCGGATTAAAGTACGCAACACTGAGTGGCCACTATATGTTGCCAGTGACTGGTCATTAGGATGTTTTAAATTTCTTGCATATTGAGGGTAGTCCATCCACCTATAATCCCAATCTTCATCTTGAAGCCCAGGACTGTGTTGAATAAGCAACTCGCATCAGCATGAGACACACACAGACACAGACATAGACACACACATATCTCACACGTTAGGAAAAACAAATGTGACATTATTATTCCAGTTTTTTGTAACCATAATTGATACTACACTTGGTTTTAAATACTGCAAATATCAAGCCCTGCTGAAAAGAATCAGAATTACAGGTGGGGGGATGAGAAAAACTTCTTAAAAAGATAACTTAGTTTCTTCTAACGGAAAAAGGATCAATCCCAAATACTAAATTGGTCCACAAAAATTATCTAGAGGAAAGATTTACACTGATCATAAACATGAAAATTACCAACTCCACAAGACCTTCATAGTAAAAGAAATTGAAATATTTGGCAGCAATTTTTGAATGAGCATCAGAGCTACATTGAGATTGCCCACAGAAAGAGCCTCATTCTAGTTAGGATACTAGCTTAAGATCATATTAATTTATACACAATTACTTGGCAGGTTCGTTTCTCATTTCTCATAGCTCCCACTGTTTTTCCAACAATATCATTTCACATAGGGTATTGAATAACAAATCCAATTTCATTTGTACAACTCTTAAAAATTAACAACTAAAGAAAAACACCAAAAAGTTTAGGTGGGAAACATTTGAAGGTATAATAAAGAGGATAAATGATAATTAGACTTACTTCATAACATTAGAAGACATCTTCCTTATGTCCCATAGTTTCGTAGTCTGATCTTTTCCATTAGAAATTAAATAACGTCCATCTCCACGGCTATCAATGAATGTAATGCCTTGTAAATGGCCCACCAATGTTCCAGCTGGTTGTCCTTTTGAGACAAAGCAGCGCCTATCCCATACCTACACAAAAGCCAAGAGTGATTTCAATAGCACGCTGCATTTAAATGATATTGCCTTCTCTCACAACAAGATGCTTCTAAGAATAAGGGGGGAAGGAATACACTCCTAAAAATGAGGAAGAAAACATAAAAAGGAAATCGTTATCTTCATCTTTACAAGAAGCTGCCAATCAAGCTGCACCTACCACCCATCTAAGAACGCCAGAACCCATACCTGCCAACACAGACAATTGCAGCAATCACCAAACCAATTCCTATGACTAGAATAAAAGGTTTACCTTGCAGAAACCATCATCACTTCCAGAATATATAAGATGGCCAGATTCATCAGCGAAGCAGACAGTGTTAACATCAGACTGCAAAGTAAAAATGCATCTCAAAGGTAAGCTACATGCTGTAACAGGAAGTAGGAAAACCTTAGCTGCAATGTGCCACAAGAATGGAATTAAAAAATTGACTATTTACAAATGAATAGCCTCTAAACCAGAATTAGTGATTGAGAAGATTTGTAGGCAGGCTCAAAATTTGGTTCCATTCAAGTTCATGTTTCCTTACAACACTCAACGTTATCATCAGATTCAGGTTTTGAAAAATATCAAGACATTGACGACATATTAAGTCGGAGAAGTATACAAGAGTGTAAGACAGTTTAGCGCTCCAAATATCTACAATAAGATTTGCCTGTTATGGCTAAAAACCTCTCACAGTAATTAATTGCACTTTGAGGAAAGAATACTATTTGGTCATCATTATAATCATGAAGGAAAGTGGGCAAACATCAATCTTCCTCTTGGAAATTCATGTTCCCCTTATTTTTTTATTTACTATATTATTTATTGCCTTCCCTAGGACTTCAGACATTCCAAAGACTAGATTGAAGGAAAAAAATGCTTATTTTGCCACAACGTAACAAATTAGAAAGCTTCAAGGATGAGTTTGTGAAGTTAGAAAAATATCAGTTAACATAAAAGGGTTATTGAATTATTCATTACTAGAAACTAATTATAGGATAAGATATATATAATACCATGTGGGCAGGAATTCTAAGGCTAAGCTTATTGGCTCTAAGATCATAAACACATATTGAGCAATCACTTGTAGCAGCAACAAGTTCTTGGCCATCCGTTGAAAACTTGACGGAGAAAATCCCAAATTCATCATTATCTTCATCAGAAGATAAATCTAAACCATTATGAACTTCCTGCAACAAAAGATGACCTTCTGAGTATAAAGCAAACGACTATTCAATGAACAAAAGGTACTCGCAAGACATAAGTCTTATCCATACATTTTATTGTTGAAAATTGAACAAAAAATTTGTTTTTCTTCGTTAAAAGAGGTTTTGCTAAGTTGTCATAAAAAATATTATAAATGTTTCCTACTTGTTTGGTTGGAAAAACCTCATCCAATGACCAATAGAATCAGAGTAAGAGCATGATCAATTGCCTGTAGCAAAGCATTCAAATGTAGAACTGAAGCATTTCATTCATCTCTAAGTTTGGAGTGCTCAAAACGAATGAAGAGCAAAAGGTATCAATCCGCTTAGCTCATTTCTTGCATTAGTATATTTTATTGGCAAACTTCAGAGCATATAAATTCCAAGGACTATTTAGAAAAAACACACAACTGGGAACAAAACTGTGAAAGTAGCATCTTCACATGACTCTACATTATAAATCGAAAACACTGGCATTACAAAGCAAAAATCACCAGCTATCACAATTAGAAGCCAGAAAAGTAGCAGTTCCAGGACATACTGTAACATTTGCTATTGACTGTGCTGTAGCAGACATCACATTCACAATATGGACAATAGGGGACATACTAGCATAAACCTGCAATAGTTACATAAGAATTAAATTAATACTTGCTGGTTGGGATAAAAAAATAATGATAAACAGCCGAAACTTCTATAAGGTTAGAAAACCACCTCAACACTGGTCATTCATACCAATAAGAAGGAACCCTTCTTTCTAATAATGCATATAATCACAATATTTTCCAATCAACTCAAACTTACAAGGTAGCATTGATCTGGTGAAAGAGATGTATCTGTAATTGTCCACCTCAAGTTTCTAGCAGAGATGTCCTTCAGTACCTTCCAGTCCCTGTCAACATCATAGACCCTAATGTGGCTTCCCTGTTTCAGAAGAATGCATAAAAAGCCAAAAAATAAATTTTACATATATTTTTTAGGTAAATCATTTCACCAATGCGACCTTCATTTCAAAATAATGGTCATTTAAGGTTATACATTTGGACTAAAAATATATTAAATAATCTAGATTATAACAAAATCTAATGACATTTTAACTAAAATACGCTTACAAAAATAATGCTTCATTGAAATTCTAAAACAACAATTATTTTGAGATAAAATCAAAACTCAAGTGACAATAAAAGTACACAGCTTCAATCTTACAGAATCATCTTACGCTTCATTACATATGTGTGATTGTGAGTGTGTATAAAACTAGTAACTACAGTAAAAACCTGAAATCCAGCAATAAATAGAGATCCTTCAGCAGAAAATTGCGAAACATAGGCACGGCTTTTCATCCGATCCACCAACCAAGGACCATTAGTAGGCAAATAGCGGCTTAAAACATGACAACCATCTCTTGATGAAAATCTCCCCAGTCCAGAATAGTTAGCTTCTCTACCAGCTAACATTCGTACAGTTGATACTGGCAACCTCATCCTACCAGGCGCAACAGATCCCAAAAGTTTATGGGGGCTTGACCTAAGTTTGGTGAGTTGAGCAATTTCATGATCAAGATAAACTGTCCTTTCTCCAGCTGACCCACTAGCAGAAGATTCATTACTGACACTACCATCACTACAGGTAACTATCTCTTTGCCAAGCCAGCTCATAATTTAGACTTTGCCCCTTACTGTCTATTTCCTGCAAACAGAATCATCGTTTAGACCCTGGCAACAGAATCAAAACACACAGAAACGTGCAGAACCCACGGATGTTGCTTAACGGGGAAACACAAGGTAATTAGATTGCTTAGTCATTTTGAGTTGTAGAAACTAAAAAACTGTACTCTACACTAAAATTAAAATGCTAATTGATAACTCCACATACAAGATGAAGAGTTAGCCATGTACAGTATGAACCCCACAGTTGTGACAGACATCCATATTACCCAGGAATCACCTCGCCTTGCCACAAATTTGAATATCCTTTTGGATAATATGAACAATTAGAGTACAATAGAGAAATGTAAATTCAACTTCAACACTCGTCCCATGCAAGACTAATCCCACTCGAAAACTCAACTACCACACTGCTCAGGTGAGAATGATGAACACAACCCCAAAAAAAAAAAAAGGAAAAAGAAAGTGACCTTAAACCCAATTTTGAGAATTTAAAGCCTACAAAAGATTGGGAACCTAATGAAGATCAAAACCTCAAATCCTCGTCACTCCAGCCCATGAAACAGTTTCAGCAAACAATTGTAGTAACTAGTATTGTCTAAGCTGGACATGGAAAAATATCAACTGGGTATGAGAAAAGATTAAGTCTTACTTCTGATTCGAATCCCTGATTCTTGGAATTCCAGGCTCCAGCCACGACTGGGATATCCTAAGCTTCGTCTCCAGAATTCCCGGGTTTCAGGTTCTCAATTTCCAAAGCGCCTCTTCGTGTACAATGAATAAATAGGCGAATCGTCCAAGTGCCTTTCTGTCATTCAGTGATCTTTCTTCGCAAGGAAATACAATAATTATAGGATTGGTTTTGTGGAAAACAAAAATGCAATTTTCATTACAGTTTTTCTCAGTTTCCGTTCCGGAACAGAGAGAAGGAGGAAAGGAAATAAAATAGCAGACCGAACCAGCTTATCAATTTATTACGCTCGCACGTCATCGATGATTTTAGGAAAACGTGGCAAACGACGACGGATAGTGATGTCAACAACGAGCAAAGCATAGTGAATCAGAAGAACTTCGGCTCAATTAAAAAAAGAAGAAGAATTATCACTAAAGTAGTAAATAGTAGTAACGTTTTTTATGTTGACGAGTAAAACAGACGATAAATTTTTACTCAATACCTTAAAATTTAAATTTTTAAAATATATAAAACAAATTTTAAATTTTTAAATTTATAATAAATTAAATCTTATCATTATTATTTTTTAATGTCATTATTGTTTACCCTTATTATTTATTATAGGCTTCAGTTAATTAACATCACATATCTTAAACTATTATATGAGTAGCATTCTGGATTCTGAACTTCAAAATTTTGAGCAAATTACTCATATCATTTATGTATCGAATGTTGACTATTATATAGATTAAATTAACCTCAACATGATTTATCATAATAAATGTATCATTGATTATGACGAACGACCGATAATTTTATGAAATGACATTTTTTATCTCTTTTTTTGTAATGTTGTTCAAACGATTAGTATTTTATACTTTCATATACTTTATAACTTTAATTTGATCTTATTTTAAATAATATTTATTTATTTAATGATAAAAACTTGGAATTCCATTGAAAAAGAAGTTTAAATATTAAAAAATTATAATTAACCAGTTACTTTAGATTTTAATTTCGTTGATAAAATTATCAACTTTTGCATCTATCGTCTATAAAATCTTATGATATTTAAACTTATTTTCAAATGAAATCTTAAATTTTCACAATTAAATAAATAAACATTATTTAAAATGAGACTAAATTAGAGTTATAGAGTATACGAAGCATGAGATACCAAACGATTGGAAAGCATTGCAAAAATAAGGGTAAAAAAGGTCATTTTATAAAATTATAGGTCATTTACAATGGCTAACGATGCATTCACTGTAGTGAACCACACCGAGACTAATTTGATCTACATTATAGTTAACATTCTATACATAAACGGTGGTGATAGTTTGCTTAAAATTTTAAAGTTCAAGATTTAGGATACTACTTGTGTAATAATTTAGAGTCTGTGGCACTAATTAATTAGGGCCGATGATGAATAGTAATGGCATTAAAAAAGATAACTATAAGGTTTAATTTACTATAAATTTAAAAATTTAAAGTTTATTTTACATGTTTTAAAAGTTAAGAGTTTACAACACTTTTCGAGCAAGAGTTTAAAATTTATTTTACTCATTAAGCCATGTTTTTATTACATCCTCCCTCTTCATGTTCCCATTACAAGCATTTTTAATTAACTAATCAAAACTAAAGAAGAGTAGTTAAGGTATTAATTTTATTTAAAATAAAATAAAATTTTATTTTATTTAAAAAAAATTAAATTTGCATAAGGTTATCTTTTATAATTAATGAATTTAAAGAGGAACACTACTAAAAAAAAATATAATTAATACTTTATCAAATGTCTTATATTAAAGATCTAAAAATTATTTTGAAACATTCCATATACTCATTTGCTCCTACTTATAAATTATTTATAATATATTTCATCAAAATTAAGAAAAATTTTAAAATTTATTAGCTCTATCTATACATTTAATAATTTCTTAACTTTACCCTTGTGAAATATATATAAAGTAACAATATATTTTTCTCTTAAACATTTAATTGAGGGCAAATGAAAAAAATTTGTGATAAAATTTTCATGAAATGACTTATAAATAAAATAAAAAAATCTTCTCTTTTTGCTATGTAAATAAGGGAAAAAAAAGGACTAAATGAAGTACAAATGTCCTTCTATTAAAAACAACCATGTCATATGTACTAAATTATTATTAAATTATACCAATTAAATTTGGTATGAGTGGTGGAAACTACACTAATAAAATTTTCATATCAGGATTTGATTTTATAATTTTTTAAATATGAGTCAAATCTTTTTTAATTAGATTTACTTTTGTCATTGAAGCCTTCCCCCCCTTTTGCAAGGGCCAATGATGCTCAGCATATGGTCTATGATATTAATTTCCCTTTTTTTGTAAATTTCTTTTCATTAATTGTGGTTTGTTCTTGGGATGAGTTTCAATTTAATTTTAAGGTGTGTTTGGTTTCATTTGCTTTTCATTTTAAAAAAGAAAGCAGATAGACAGATACACCGTATTTATACACACATACATATATGAACTATTTCTCGTAAATGAAAATTATTAGGTTATGAGGAATAACTTAAAAAAAATTATAATAAATACTTATTGAGATATGTAATTTACTTATAAATAAAAAAAATAAATAATAGTTTCTCTTATATACAAAAGCAAAAAAGGTGGATATTAAACCCACGTCCATGGCCATCTACATTTATATCAATATAATTCTGTATAAAAAAATTAAAAATTCATAGAAAATGCACAATTTTCTATTCATGATATAATTAAAATGTGTCTCCTGCGCTATATGAGATCCTAAATGCTCTTAACTTCACAAAATTTACTACATACAATGCATTTGGGAAGTGATAGATAAGTGTTAATTACAATATAAATTCTATATACAATCATATCATCTGTCTTAATATCTTTTTGAAGTCATAAATTCATCACTAAAGATGATCCATCTTCCTTGTTTGAAATTTGAGGGACCAAACATACAAAATATAACGTATCTAGTAAAAAAGAAAAAGTGTTTTATTGATAATATAATCATATCCTTTCCATGCAGTGAAAGGATAAATTCAAGTGGATGAGCATTGAAAATGACAGGCTGGCATAAAAAAAATACAAATGACAGGTATTTTATGACAAATATGTAAAAGAGCTTGAGAAAGTTATAAAAAAATTTTAAAAAATACTGGCCATTAATGCAAAGTAATATGGAGATAGGGCTGTCCTCGTTAGGAAAATATAAAATTAATTTTTCTTATGGGTGAACATGGTAATATGAAAGTGCAAAATAATAAAAGATATTCACGCCAATTTTTTTAAAAACTGGATCGAACAATGAATTAAAAATGTTAGCAAGTCACAGTTCTTATAATTTAACTAATTAAACTAGTGGACAAATTAAAATATAATAATTTAAATAAAAAAAATATTTAAATGAAAAACAAGTCTAGACGATTCAATTGTTTTGAGTTTCAGGTTTTTTTCAAGATTTTTAAGAATTGCCTAAGTCAACTCAGGTCAATGGCCAAAACAGGCCAAATTGTCAACCAAGCTGTTTTCTTCTTTAGCAACGATTTGATCATCCATACCAGTTTGGGTCTGAAAACACAAATTCATGCATTGTGTTAATAATGGTTACAAAGGATTATTATTATTTGTGATTTGTGAATGTGCTATTAAATACTTAGATCCTATTTCGTTACTAAAAAAATAGAATTAAATGAAAAAATTGAGAGAAAAATGAATTAAATTACTTTTTCTTTCATAATAAGTATAACAAATCTTACTAATGTATATTACAAATATGAGAATCATTACATCCTCCAAAAATTTCATGAATCATGATTACTAATTTCATGAACTAAATTACTCATTTTTTCCTTAGAATATGCTTATCTATTCTTTTTGATCATCTTATTTTTACCTTAATTTTTTAATCCATTCTATTTTATTTCTTTCTAACAAACAAATGAGACCTTAATCTTAAAAGTTTTCTTATGATTTAGTATATGTTTGGTCTCACATTAAAAAGAAACAAAATTATACTCCCTTTAATTCAAAATATAAGAATTTTTGAGGGGGAAAATTCAGCATACCAATAAAATTTCCATTCCTATTAAAATATATATTGTTTTCTTTTTTTTTTTTTCCAATCTCTAGTTCCAATTACCAATGCATTCCATAATGAATGGGAGATACATTCACACAAAGATTTAAGTTAATAAATACAAGGGATAAAATGAAAAAAAAATTACATGTATTATATTGTTTATATTTTGAACCAAAATTAATTGAGAGAAAATCCTTATATTTTGGATTGGAGGTAATAGTTTTTAACATGAAACCAAGCATGAATTCATAACCTTTTTCCCCCTCTTCTTTTAGTTATCATAACTTAATTTTTATAAGATTTTTTATATATTTATCAATCTTGTTATCTTAATAATAAATAAAATTGGAACGATATAAAAACAGATTGCATGCCCTTGCGCAATGATGACATGCACAAAAAAAGAATAATCAAAGAAGATGTGAGGAGCTTACTCAATATAAAAAAAAAAAAAATCTTAATAATAAACTGATATAATGGATACATTCAAGTAATATGCCACTCATTATTACATCAATTCTCAATAAAATTCAATTCATCCATAACTCACATACATCCTATAAATAGCTACGTTTTCTTCCTTTCTAGGTTCCTAGCCTGCATAAAGCTCTGTGTTTTTTATCAAATGAAGCTCAGTGACTTTGATACATGATGATTTTATCACTGGACAGTATCTTTCTGCTATGGCAATATATCTTTTGGCTTGAGTTTCCACCATCAGAAACACAGAAATGGTTGAGACACAAAGTCCTGAATTTACCCATATAAATCTTTCTCAGTCATTTCCCTCTATTATGAATTGATGCATCCTTGAATCTCTTCTAGAGTTTTTCCTTTGGTTTCCGGGACTAACTTTGCAACAAATAGAATCGTCAATAGGGAACATCCAGCGTACAGGAATAAAGTACCTAAACAAAGAAAATATCCAGTACACTTTACAATTAGATACGTTTTCCATGCAATATTACACAGAATCTAAGAAATAAGTTTTGTTATTCACGGATTACTAGCAAAGTAGCTTGCAGGAACGAATCTAGAGGCCATACTTCAACAATCCTTTGGGAAAAAAACAATTATAATTTTTAATATTAATATTGATTTTGGCTTCAATTTGGTCACATATTCATTAGCTCCTAGATTCGTCACTGGAAACTTGCTATAGATTTTAATAACCTCATAAGATCAATATAACAAAGCTAATCAACTGAGTTTGCAGTTCGTGCTTACCTGGAGAACTCCAACTCATAAGGAAGTTGAATGTGTATGAAACCAGCCAAGCTCCTAACCAGTTCACCAAAACCACCAAGCTTCCAGCAGTTCCTTTCACATGTATGGGAAAAATCTGCCACATGAAAGCTAGTAGTATTAGAAGATTTTTCTCGGGCTTTCCTCTGTCTATATTTTCTTCTTTATGATTTTAAAAATAAAAGCTTCAAGGTGTTTGCGTCAAGAGATACATGCCTCAGACATTATCACCCAAGGAACTGGTCCCAATCCAATTGAGAATGCTGCTACATAGATCTGATTACAAGCAGGGTCAAGATGATACAGTTTCAGGTCAAAATGGCCTAAGTTTATTGATTTCATAGGTCACTTATCAATTAACCAAATTTCCTCGGGGAAAAAATATACAGTAACTATCAGTAGCTTCAGAAGTAGACTTACCAGTATGCCGCTGATAGCTAACATTGGTACCCACCCAAGCAGTAAGCTCTGACCCTGTTCAATGGAATCAGACAGATAGCACAAGTTTATATTTGAGACATATACACCAAACCTACGTGATATTATAAGGACCAAACATTTGTGAAGTTTCATTAGTGTTGTCTGTTAGAGTTTTCTCTGGAAGTATCCAATCATGTTGAACAAAAATGTAAAAAAATTATTAGTTATCGTTTTTTATTGAAAAACAAATCAAAAATTCATGAAACCTATATCTAATATTTGTTCATAATATAATATTGAAGACTTGCCTTGAGAAAGAAAGCAGTTCCTGTCAAAAAGGAGCCTAGGAGTGTTCCAGCTGCAGAAATCTGCATGATGCATGCCTGAATATGAGCACTTTTATGATACAAGCAAATCTCCTACTCCACTTTGCTTTCTAAGATCTTGATGATGAATGGGGGATAAAAAATTGAAATCAGATGTACCATGATGAGTGGTCTTCTACCAGACTTATCCATCAAAATGGCTCCAACCATAGTCAATGGAACCTGTCGTTCATTTTTAAAAGATTCAAGTTCATAAAGAAATATAGTTTATTGTTGTCTGGGAAATCAGAAGAGGGAGCGATCAACTACCTGTGTAAAAGCATAGGCTATTGTACCAATTTTGCCTGAAGAAAACCCTGCAAATCAAGTTATACATGGTAAGTATGAATTTTCTCCTCTCTCTCTCTCTTTTCCCCTTTTTATGGGTATTAAGATCAGCATTTATATTTTCATTTACCAGCTGCTACGAAAGTCTCTGCTGTGTAGAATCCGATGCCATTGATTCCAACGAGTTGTTGACATACCATTAACCCTACCCCAATCTGGAATTGTAAAACATAGTCAGAATCCTTTAAATAGTTGCATGCCCCATAATTGAATATCTTTGAAATGAGAGGGATCCTTACAACTACAGAGCGCACATGTTTGCTTTGGAACAAATCCAGAAACTTGGTTTTGGGAAGGCTTTGAAGAGTTTCAATGTATTCCTGTTAGAGAACAAGGAACAGTGAATCAACCCCTCATATGTCTCAGATTTATTAAAAAGTTCTATTTACAAAGGTGTTCAATCAAATATAAGAGCTTGCAAAGTACCATAATCTCAGAAGCTTCATGAGAGATATCAACATCTTTGCCCCTAAGTATCCTTAAAGCTGCTTGAAATTCTTTTTCATGGCCAACCTTTGCCTGGAAACAATGATATTCAATTTATTAATTAGACTTTTACCTTCTTCTCTTCGAAGGGCTCTTTGGACATTGAATTCAAGTTTAATACTTACTAGCCATCTGGGAGACTCAGGTATAAAGCACAAGCCAATCAACAAAGAAATGCATGGCACAAGCCCTTCAAAGTTCAATCCAAACAAAAAAGAAAAGTTTAGATCTTTTTCTTCTAACTGAATATTTTTTAAGTGACAATTGAAAAGTAATTATGTAACTTGCCAGCAAGAGCTAGTGCTCTCCAAGCTATGACGCTCCCTAATAAGAAGGAGACTGATGCTCCAATAACAATCATAAGCTGCACAGCAATCAGTGTAGAGACCAAAATTAAACTCAGCATTACTCTAGGAAACAACAAAAACATAACAACCAATACTTGTCTCCTACCTGATTTGTTGTTGCAAGTCCTCCTCGCAGGTTCTTCGGTGCTATTTCTGCTATATATACTGGGACCTGTTTCATTCCGTTAATATTTGTTTTAAAAAATTGTAACGGTGTCATTAAAAGTCAACAAATGAATCGTGTTGATTAGCAGGAGTTTAGTGTCATGGCTATCTTCTTGCTTCTTTTGGTAAAGTCCTATTGGTTGCTTACCACGTATGAGATAACTCCAATTCCAAATCCTGTGAAGAGTCTTCCCATGTCAAGAAAGCTAGAACACTGAATCAGGTAAAAATCATACAATTTTAACGTTCTACAACAATTCCATGTCGACGGAAAAGAAAAACTTAAGATGGATTTAAATTGTGCTGAAAATTATACCTTGGAGAAGAAGACAGCTAACCATCCTGCAATGCAAAAACCTGTGGACATTCTCATTGCCTGTTTCCCAAGAAAATTCAGACTTGGCACAGTGAAGAGACTGCTAAAAATATTCAGAGTGTTTTAGATTTAGCATGTAATCATACCCCTTTCCGGCCAATAATATCAGTGATCCGGCCACTTGTTATGGCTCCAAGCATTGCACCAATAGTGACTAAAGATCCAAACATGGAAAACTATCATCCCGAAGAGAGAAGGGGAAAGCTAAGTATTAGTAAGAATACAAGATGATACCAAGAAACTGTCAATAAAGAGAAGAAAACAGAATATATACAAACCTCAGCAAGAGATAAATTAAGATCTGCCCTGATAGCTGCTTGAGTGGGTGCTGAATAGCCCACCTGCCAAAATAATAGCTTAAGCTAAAACTACAAACCTTTTTGATTGTTTGTGTGCTGTGATTTCTGGTTTGGTTCCTAACCCAGAACACAAAAACAAAGAAGGAAGATGACACTTAGTTACTTCCATTTTTCAGAATGTTACTCAAGTCATGCACCAAGTTTTCGAAGGCAAAATACGGGGAAAGAAAAGAGTGCAAGTTATCTTCTTTTCTGCTAGTTTTTATGATTCAAATCACTGACAGAAAGAAAGAAAGAAAGAAACATATAAAGATACTTACACAAGTTCCAAACGCGAAGGAACCACAGACAGCAACAAATGTACAGAACAGTACCATTCCAATGGATCCATTTTCCACATTATCATGATCAGAATCAGACTCAATATAATCCTTCACTGATTGAACCAATGGCACCTCCAAATCCCGAAGCCCATTAATGGCTTCTCCACTCTCAACATCCTTGCACTGTTCAATCGTCATCTTCCTTCAATAAAACAGTACTGAAGAATGACATAGAGAAAATACTACAAACAGACGGAGAGCACAAGAAAGAATGTGTAATTGATGTGGTATTTATAGTATATGTGAGTCAGCAGAACTAATCATGTGTGGCTAGATATTTCCTAGAGCGTGTTTCTCTGAAGGGAAATGCAGCAGTTGCAAATGGATTTGAGAATTTGGATTGGCATGTGCTAACGAAGCTGTCACTGACGTGTTAATTAGCTGCCAGAGGCCAACTTCGCTCAGAGAGAGAGAGAATGGGTTATGAATGACAGAAAGCTGATGAGGATCAGCGTCAGCTTATTTGATATGTATATGTATGTATGTATGTATGTATGTATGTATGTCTATGCGTATGTTTTGGTCGAAAGCTCATGAGATATTGGTACTCTAGTATTTCACTTGCATTCTATATATGGCACGAGATAATTTTTTTTTTTGGCTTCAATAAATCAATAAAAAAAAATAAATATTTTAACTAGTGGTGGTTGGATAAAGTGAAAGGGGCTTGATTCACTGGCTCGATTGCGTTCTTATAATGGGATCGCCTCCTCTAGTTCAATTGTTATATTTATATTCATTGAATTAGTTTGATTGATTCTTTGCGTCGAAGTTAAATAAGGTGAAGATTTGAATCTTATTAATGAAAAACAATTACATTAAAAGCACTTTCAATTAGGTTCAACAATGATCAAATCTGATTATTAGATCGTTGTATAAACAAATAAATATTATAAAATTTTATATTTAAATCATATTTTAAAAAATAATATAAATAAATTGTAGTCTTTCAAACAAAGCAAATTATTTATGCATACGTAGAATTATATTATGGAGTATCGTAATGCATGACATGCACGCAAACATATTAAATATGTATCTAGCATGGGTAGGTTTGTTTGTTTGTTTTTTTAAATATCATATAACATAGCTCACATTGAATAGATTGTTGTATAAACAAATGAATATTATAAAATTTTACGTTTAAATACATATTGTGAAGATGGTATGAATATACCGTAGTCTTGAAAGTGAATCATTCATGCATGCATAGAAATATATCATGAGTAACATGTTAGGAATAATAGAGAGTGACAGCCTGAGAAGGGAGAAAGAGAGAAGAGATGGGTGAGAGTAGTAAAAAGACGTCACATTTTAACTCAAAACCTTAATATTTAAATTTATGAGTCCTTATTTTTTATTATATATTAGTTATGAAACTCAACTTTATTTGATGTAAGACTTTTTATATTATCTTATATTCAGTCACACTTGGACATTTGATATCATTTGTTAGGAATGAAATGCGACGGCCAGGGAACGAAAGGAGAGAAGGGACGAGCAAAAGTAATAGAAGAACGTCATATCTTAACTCAACTTCAAGGCTCAAGTTTATGGGTCTTTACTCTTTATTATATATTAGTTATTAGAACTAACTTTATCTGCTGTCGTATGCCCACTCACACCTAGACAATCTAACAATTGCCTCCTCAAATGTGAGTCTACAACCGATGTCAATCAATATTTCTATAAAAGTGATAAGAAAAAATGCATTATCTATAAACAATCAACAATGTAATTAAAAATATACTGTATATAATAAAACATAATGGGTCATGTACCAACAAGCGTGTAATTATGTTGATAAAAATCATATTAGTTCAACCCCATAGATTTGAATTTAAAATTTAAAATTAAGTGGTGAATTATGTTAAAAGATCACTAAGAATTTTGATCTTGGAAAATATATTTGCCATATTTTTTTATATGCATTTTTTCTTGGCCAAAAAAAAACTATAAAGATGAGATGCAGAAGATAGGAAAAAGGGAGAATCAGTCTAAAGTCCCATAGAAGCACTTTAAATACGCTGAGGTCCCATGAATTTAAGAAATAGCTGCCAGGTCCCTAGGGACCTAAGGGTGAATAAGTCTGAAAGTAAAATTACCCATTTGCCCTCTAGCATTGAAAATAAGATTTTGCTTGCGCGCGCACGTCTGAGAAACCCATGATCAACAATAGTGAAGGTTGCTGCATATCCATGGTTGTTGATCACGGTAGGATCATCTTCACTTCCTCACGTCCATGATTACAGTCGTTGTCTTCATCTAAGTGAGTTGGGAGTGTTTCTTCTGCAACAGCAGCATTTCATCGGCAGAAAATAAATTTTCTAGGTAAACGATAGTTGGCCGTAAACGATTACGTAAATTACCGATCAACAGTAGCATATCCATTGTTAGCTGGGTAAACGATTTCTTGTGCGTTAATGATTTCATTATTGTCTAAGGGTAGGATAATGCTTTCTGGGTAAACCTGCGATCATTCAGTTTGCATAGCTGATATATGGAATAATCTGGCGCAACACTGTTCCGTTGACAAATATCTGATATGAATATCTCTCTGCATGTTGTCAATAGTGTTTTGTTGTGTTGTCAATATGAGATGAATAGTTGTCAATACACTGTACTGTGCAGGCTAACCAGTAAGAATGCAAGCACTACTGGAAAACATGTATTATGTTATTTTTTTTCATATAGGACAATTTATATATTATTCCCAAGCATCTAAGGTAAGCTTGTTTTGTTGAAAAATCTCTGCTATTAATGAACACTACGTCTTGTCAATAGTGGATAAATATGTTGTTAATACACATTGTCTAGTTGTCAATATACTGTGTGTGGTGCAAGTTGACCTGTAAGATGGCAAGTTCTTCAGGAGAACATATATTATGTTTTTTCCATATAGGGGGCATTTTCAAAATGATGATCAAGGAAGTATGCAATATGTTGGGGGGAGTGTTAGAACTAGAACAATAAAGGAAGGGACAACATATGAAGAGTTGACAAGAATGATATCATCAATTATAGGGAATGAAAGTAATATAATCAAGTTAAAATTCACAGTCAATGTTGATGCAAGCACACTTGTAGATCTAGTTGATGATGATGGAGTAGAACATCTGATCAAATATAATAAACAAAGTGGACATGTGTATGTAGTTGCAAATGGGAATGACACCATAGAAGCATCAATGGATTGCCCATTAGAGAACCAACATGTGTAAGTTGTGTAAATTTGTTTGTTAATACAAATATGTTGGAAAGAACAATTGTAATGTTGTCATTGAATGCAGGATTGATAATTTATTGAGAGTTTCAGATGGATGCTCTTTCTCTCCACCAAGTATCTATCTGAGATTGAAGACTCGAAATTGGCATGCGCTGTACAAATGGTACCTACACCAATACCTGAAATGAGTTCTATGAAATAGAAGGATTTGTTAGTAGGTAAAGGGCTGTTGATGCCTTTAGACAAGCATTGTACAAGTATAGCATCTCCCACAAGTTTTTATACAAGTTTAAGAAGAATAATAAAGAGAAGATCATTGCATATTGCAAGGTAGAGGGCTGTGAATGGAACATTGCAGCATATTCAATAGGGAAAGATAATGAGATTTTAAGGGTTACAAAATTTAACAATGATCACACCCATAATGTGTAAGACAACCTTATTGTGTCACACCCGGCAAGGTCAAAATTAACATCATCAATCATGGTTGATGCTCTAAGGTCTAATATAGATAAAAGTGCCAATGAACTTGCAAGAGACTTGTATAGAGAGTATGGTGTGCGATTGAGCTACAATCAAGCCTATAGGGGAAGAGAAAAAGCATTGCGGGAAATACATGGTCATGCAGAAGATTCTTATAGCATAATCCCTTAGATTTGTGATCGATTAATGGAAACTGATCCGATGACAGTTGCAAAATGGAATGCCTCAAATAATAGATTTGAAAGGCTATTCATTGCTTATGGATGCTCTATATCTGGTTTTTTAGGAGGTTGTCGAGCTATACTTTATGTAGACGGATGTCACCTAAGCGGTCCATACAAGGGAACAATGCTGTCAGCATGTACATATGACGCTGATAATGACTTATTTCCGGTAACATATGCCATTGTTAGTGGGGAAACATTAAAAGATTGGTCTTGGTTTCTTCAAAACGTCAAAGACATAACAAGATCAGTGGAGTTAACAATTATTTCTAATCGAAATAATGCGATTATTAGTGCCGTGCAAGCTATATTCGGTAGTGGTGAGAGACATGCATTTTGCTACCGTCATGTGAAAGAAAATTTTAGCATAGCATTTACGAAAATCAATAGAGGTAAGACGCGTACCTCGAGCAACATGAAAGATGATGCGTTGAAATTACTTGATGCAATTGCCTATGCAAGGCATGAGGCTGAATTTAATGTTGCAATGGGGAATCTAAGATTGTTTTGTCCACAATTGGCACAATGGGTTGAAACCCAAGGGGATGTAGATCGATGGGCTCAATGCAAGTTTGGATATAAACGATAGGATAATATCACAACTAATCTTGCAGAATCCTTTAATGCTTAGATTGTGAAAGAGAGAAAACACAATGTTAATGTCTTGATTCATGAGCATAGAGAGAAATTGGCAAAGAAGATGGTCGCTAGCAAAGCGGCTATGGGAAATTAGAAACATGATGTCAGGCCTAACGTTAAGGCAAAAGTTATGGAGCAAGTTGTGAGATCTGAAAATTTACACGCACAAATTTATAGAGAAAATTTGATCTCTGTGCAATCTATATCAGTTAATGGACTAATACACTTGAATGTTGATCTTGCAGCACGTACATGCTCTTGTTTAGCATGGCAAATGAGTGGAATACCTTGTGCACATGCTTGTGCAGCAATCAGGCTACTTCATGGCAATGTGTACAATTTTGTGGATGAATGTTACAAGTTTACTGCTCAAGAACAGATATATGCCACCAGTGTGAAGCCGATAGCCACACATGACTGTCCACATCCAGAAGCATTGACGGTGACAAATTTATTAACCGAAACCTTTTTGGAGCCACCAATGACTAGAAGGCCTCCTGGTAGGCCAAAGAGTAAAAGAAAGGAATCTCAATTCCAAAACAAAAAGGTGTACCATTGTAGAATATGCCATGAGATTGGTTGTACCTCTAAGACTTGCAAGAATCCTAATCCATGCTAGAAAATATTACAGACAAGTGTATTTTTTTGTTTATATATATGGAAGTTGTTTTTGTTTACTTTTTGGTTTATTGTACATAATGTATTAGCACTTTTCAATAGCAAATGCATAAATTATAAATGACTTAATACCTTATGGTCAAGGACTAATGGCAAGTAGTCAATAGGTTCTTGCACCTGGTTGATTTTCGCAGGGATTAACAGCACCAAGTGCGTCAACATTTGTCAATGGAGAATTAACACATTGTCAATATAGTTATATCCACTTGTCAATAGGCAACGGAAGTAGTCAACAGGTTCTTGCACCTAGTTGAATTTTAAAGGGAATAACAGCACTTATTGCTTCAGCACTTATCAATGTCGAATTACTACCTTGTCAATATAGTTAATAGTACTTGTCAATATCCAAAGCTAAGTAGTCAACAGGTTCTTGCACCTTGTTGAATTTTAAAGGGAATAACAGCACTTACTGCCTCAACACTTGTCAATGATGAATTACTACCTTGTCAATATAGTTAATAGTACTTGTCAATTTCCAAAGCTAAGTAGTCAACCGGTTCATTTAACTAGCTGATTTTCCAAGGAAACGACAGCACTTACTACCTCAGCCCTTGTCAATGTCGAATTACTACCTTGTCAATATAGTTAATAGTACTTGTCAATCTTCAAAGCTAAGTAGTCAACTGGTTCATTTAACTAGCTGATTTTCCAAGGAAACGACAGCACTTACTACCTCAGCACTTGTCAATAGCGAATTACTACCTTGTCAATATAGTTAATAGTACTTGTCAATCTCCAAAGCTAAGTAGTCAACTGGTTCCTTTAACTAGCTGATTTTTCAAGGAAATGACAGCACTTACTACCTCAACACTTGTCAATGGCGAATTACTACCTTGTCAATATAGTTAATAGTACTTATCAATCTCCAAAGCTAAGTAGTCAACTGGTTCATTTAACTAGCTGATTTTTCAAGGAAACGACAGCACTTACTACCTCAGCACTTGTCAATGGCGAATTACTACCTTATCAATATAGTTATTACTACTTGTCAACGGTGAATTATTAACTTGTTAATGTACTTATAGACACTTGTCAATAAAGTAATAACAACTTGTTGACATGCAATTAATAAAATAGACTGTCTGCCACATTTACAAACTTGTAATCAGCTTTTATAACCAGCGTTATCTAAGTTAACTACACAAAATGAGCTAACTATATAAAGGGATATGATGATCAATAAAATTATATCCTAAGGTTCTATAAAAAATCTTCTATTTCCTTTTCCTCGTCGCTTGGGATCCTTCTAATAAGGACATGGCTTCGGGCTCCTTCACATTATTACGATGACTCAGTAGCCACCACAAGAGTTCTACCTTCTTCTTATAGAGGTCATCCTGCACCACAAGTAAGTCTTATAAGGGACAACAACAAATATGTAGTACATGAAAGAGGGAAAATGTAAAGCAAAGAATGCATACGTCAGAGTATTTTGGCATCGTATACCCATTCTTATCCACAGTGTTATCTCACGATTGTAACCATGTCATAACGTGCACCCCACAAGTATGGCTAAAAACAAAATAAAAAACATAACGTAAAATTAATTTTTCACATGTAAATATAAGCTTAATGATGTATAAACATAAAAGGAACTCACGTATCAGTTTGCACATAAACTTTAGCCCATATAATGTCCGTGCTAACATCATCCTCAAACAATTGTGGCTTGACTGCACGAAGTAGAGAGTGAAAGCAATTCCTCTGCAAACTCAAGACTTGCAATGTTAGTAATGTTAATTTACAACTAATCAAGAAGACAACGATAAATATAGATGTTGGTAATGTTGAGTGACAAGTATAGACATACGCATCCTCTTGCCATCATTTCTTTAGGATCCAGTTGTCCTTTCTTCTTCTTCTTCTTCTCCTCCTTTCCCTTGCCCTTCTTCTCAACATTCTCTTCTTCTTCCTCTTCCTGCTGTCTTTGGAAATACTCTCTATTATTGACCAATGAATCTAACACATAGAAGTTCTTACTTTTGGTCTCAAAGACATAGCAAAACTAGTGACTATGGAAAAGAGTTGGGCCAAAAATGAAATCACAATCAGCAATGTTATATCCAACAAACTCAGGAAATATTTCTCCCTTGTTGTCATCTACCGTCCATTTTAATGGGTTGCTGATCATTTTTAGCATGAATTCAGAACCAAAGATATGTCTCCGGACTTTCCCTTCATTTTCCTTTTAGTCACCTACCAAAGTTCGGGTAACCATTGACATCACCCTGTCACTAATCCATCTCTTTCCACCAAAACATTGTAGCTCTGCACGAGTCAAGTAGTAACTATACAAATCTACAATGATCCTGTTGAAGAAGAAGGAAAAATTAAATAAATTGTCACTAATACTTTAGTCAGTCAATTTTTAGGCACAGTATAGGGACTTACTTGTCTCCCTCATCTTCCTCACATGGTGTTGTGCATATTTGAAATAATTGATCTTTCTCATCCATTTTTCTCTTCTTTCCAACATTAGTTCTAACCCATGAAAATTTCACAGCAGATCTTTTATATCTTTTTGATCTTTAGGATGTTTACTTGATTGTTCTTCTCTTCTCCCTTCCTCATCCTCTTCCTCTTTTGAATCGTCATTGTTGCCCTTTTCTTTAGGAGAACCTTGCTGTTCATCATCTTTTTCTTTATCTTCTTCACCTTCTAATTTTTCTTCTTCATTCTCTTCCTCTTTTGATTGTTCAGCTCCTTCTTCGTTGTATTCTTCCTCTTCTAATTTTTCTTCTTCATTCTCTTCCTCTTTTGATTGTTCAGCCCCTTCTTCATTATATTCTTCCTCTTCTAATTTTTCTTCTTCATTTTTTTCCTCTAATGCTATCCCCTCATCAACAAGTCCTTCTTCTTCTATTTTTTCATCTTCATTCTTTCCCTCAGAATCTATCCCTTTATCATCATCTTCTTTCTTGTGATTTTTCACCTTCTTCCTCTCTTGAGCCTTATCCAAGCAGTATTGATTGTAAGCTCATTAACTCCTCTCCAACACAAACGACAGCACTTTTCCATACAGCCTCCTTACTTCCTGCAAGACAATTACTAACTCAGTGCATAAATAAGACCATATATATCTGTCTATTATACTCTATTTTATACATACCGGGTGAACAAATGCCGATTCTTGATACACCTTGGTAGATTGACTACCATGTACAGTAGTTGGCTCATGCAAGATACCTTGATTGCTCTTTTTCTCCAACTTTATTCTTATATTCACTTTATCATCGTCCCAATATTTCAGAGCATCTACGGCTTTTGGACAACCTTGGCCAACTGGAAAATTCTGGAAGCCCCATACCTAAAAACTTGACAAATCAGTATAAACATAAAACCTTTACATGGAAAACTTTGAAAGGCTATCACTTTGGATTAATGTAAATTGAACACACACTTACCATTAGAAAGTAGATACATCCCCTAACGTTCTTCCTCATCCTTCCCTTCCCTTTGCTCAGCTGTTTCTTGTAGTCTTCTACCTCCTTGCAAAGTTCATTAAAAATGAACGTACCCCAATCATATGCGCTTGGTTTCTTTTGTGTCTCATAAACGACCTTCAATATATGGTCGCTAACCTCAAGACTTGCGGTTGGCAATAGCAAGGTTCCCAATGCATACATTACAAAAAGTAACTCAAATTTAGCTATCTCCTTTCCAGATATAATCATTTCAGCTATTTCCTTGTAAGGCATTTTATAGTAAGTATTTCTCAAATTCTTGAAAGCTCTATCATTCACATTGACATCCCCAGTAATCTGCTTACCCTCACTACGTAAGCCCATCAAGTCATTCACATCCTTGGCCTTCATTTGCTTGATTTTCTCCCTTATGCATATTTCACGAGTTGGGGGGTCAAAGGCACGCATCAACTCTCCACAAATATCTCTTTGAATTTTTTTACAAGACACATCAAGAAGCCTATGAAATCTAGCTTCTCAACCCTTTTTTGTAATTTCTCATCTTTCTTAACATATTTTGCCACTTCACCAAATTGGCTAGGAGAGCAGTGCGTATGAAATGGTACGGTATATCTCTTCACTGTTGTCTTTGCTTTATCTTTCATCTTCCTTTATCTAGAAAACAAATAGAAAAGTTCAATTACATGTGTTGAAAAGAGATATATGCATACTAGTCATTACTAAGTTCCAACTCACAGATTTCTGCACTAGCATTGTTTATTAGTAAGAAAAAAACACAAGTCACAAAGGCATGACAATTCACTAGTTATGACAGTTCTCTAGTCAATGGAGCATACTGTTGTTGTCAATGGAGTTTATGGTTGTAGTCATTGAAGTAATTAGTTGTCATTCATGGAATAAATGATTTTGGTTAATACAGCATATGGTTGTTGTCAACAAAGAAAGCAGTTGTCGTCAATGGAGAAATTCGTCCATATTTAAAATTACATATTTTTAAGCAGAATTGGAAGTTAAACTAACCACAATAAAAATATAAAATGCAAGAGGAGTAGTTAAAAGTTGAAACATGCAAATACGCGCCTTAAGTAATTACAAAAATCTCATGCATAGCTACACTTTTGCAACATATTAGAAATATACTTGGTAAGCTTGACTTGATAAACATTAGAGAACTGTGTGACCAAGTTTTGTCTCTTTCAGAGTATAGAGCACAACTATATGATTATCTTAAGAGCAGGATGAACATTATTGCACCCAATTTGACCGCTCTTGTTGGGAAGCTTGTTGGTGCTCGCCTTATTGCCCATGGTGGTAGCTTCCTCAATCTTGCAAAGCTGCCAGGGAGTACTGTACAGATACTTGGTGCTGAAAAGGCTCTCTTTAGGGCCCTAAAGACTAAGCATGCTACCCCAAAATATGAGCTTATTTATTATGCATCATTAATTGGTCATCCTGCTCAAAACTTTAAGGGTAAAATTTCTCGGTCACTTGCTGCAAAGACAACATTGGTGATTAT